TATTTGGCATTCTATCTTTATATTTTATTTTAGTGATCAAATTAGTACTCAGGCCTTGCATAAATTTTCCTGTAACCTCAGTTCCTTCCACTCTACTTCCCATAGTGTTTCCCCTTTCTCCCATACTAGAAGACATGTTCTGCATTCCTCAGCCAGGTATTTTCTCTCCACAGAGGTTTTCTGAAATGTAATACTCTTGGTTGGGGAAGGAATACTGAAGAACATTTTGGTTTATGATGCATCTTAACAAAGGCTACTTAATTTGCCTTATAAACATTCTGTATACTGGGGAGATATTATTATCGATATTTTACAAATCTGAAAGCTAAGGCTTAGAGGGGTCAGGGTCTTACAACTATCAACAGCCCTTTAGGGCTAGAACCTAGGTCTTGAGCTCTAGGGTAGTCACTCCACAACACCACGTGTTTCATCACGGTAAATAATTTCTCCTTTAGCCTGGCTTTCTCCAGGGACATAATTTGTGCAGTTTTATCTTGGTGGCAGCTCCCATTTCTAATAAAATCTAATATAAAAACTCCTGAATTTCCTAACAGAAAATACTTAATTATTTGCATCACAAAGGATTTCACATTTAAAAGATCACCACAGATTTGGAATAAAAAGTATATATTCTTTTTTTTCCCCAAAAACGGTATGACCACTTACAAAACAATGTGATTTATCTACAACTTTCCAAGAACATATTCATTTTATAAAGTTCAAATATAAAAATGATAACTATTTCCATATTATCTCACTGGATTTATATAAAAGCCCTGCAGTCTAGGAAAATTGAAAGATAAGGAAACTAAACTCAGGAAAATTAAGTGACCTGACCAAAGTCTCACTGGTATTAAGTGATAGAGCTGGGACTAGAACATGCTGGAGTTTTCTTACCACTAAGAGGCCTGAATTCAAGCTTAATTCTACTGCAGATGTACAGTAATATCCCTTAAGAAAAAGAGCTATTACTCTTCCCTACCTAACTTGAGAACTTTGGGGGAGGAAAGGTTACCTGTTTCCAGTCACTACTTTGTTAAAACAAAATAAAGAATTTAAAGATATGTCTAGAAAAAAAGGCAAGTAAGATAAAGATCAAAATACTCATGGCATAAACGCAGGAAGGTATCAAAGTTTCTTACTTTAAAGACATTACACAATCCAAGAATACAACATTGCTCTCCAAAGAGCCAAAAGCCCTAGGATATGCACCAAATCCAAACTGCAGAGCCAGCTGGCTTTAACGATGAAACTTTAAAGGGTATAAGCTTTTCCTAAGGACAGTGGGTATTTTAAGCAAAAAGAGGTCTACCCTCAATGATCTCTACCAAAAAAAATTTAAGCCTTAAAAATGTTCCCACTCCAATTCACCAACCATCCCACTTTTTGAACTACAGCCTAAGAAAATAAAAGTATAAAATAGCTAAATATGTCATTGTTGTTGCTGTTAGGTGCCGCTGAGTCAGTTCTGACTCAGCGACGCTACAGGACAGAGTAGAACTGCCCTATAGTGTTTCCAGGGAGGGGCTGTTGGATGTGAACTACTGATCTTTGGTTAGCAGCCAAGCTCCCAACCACTATGCCACCAGAGCTCCAAATTTGTCATAGCAGTTTTCATTCACTCATTCAGCAAGTATTTACTGAGTGTCTACTATGCAAAGAAGGTCCCTTGTTGTTGTTAGTTGCTGTTAATTCCTACTCATCGCGACCCCATGTGAGCAGAGTAGAACTGATCCACAGGGTTTGTTTATATGTTGTGTGACTTAAGCGAAAAGTTTACAGCTCAAGTTAATTTCTCATTCAAAAATTTCTACACATATTGTTTTGTGACATTGGTTGCAATCCCCGCAATATGACAGCACAAGCCCCCCTTCCACCCCGGGTTCCCTGTGTCCATTCATCAAGTTCCTGTCCCTTCTCGCCTTCTTGTCCCGCTTTTGGACAGGAGCTGCTCATTTGGTCTTGTATATTTGATTGAACTAAGAAGCATGTTCCTCACATGTATAACTTTTTGTTTTATATGCCTGTCTAATCTTTGTCTGAAAAAAGGGCTTTGGGAATAATTTCAGTTCTGGATTAGCAGTGTCCGGGGACCACAGCTTTGGGGGTTCCTCCCATCTCTGTCAGACCAGAAAGTCTAGCCTTTTTTCATGAATTTGAATTCTGTTCTACATTTTTCTCCTGCCCCGTCCAGGACTCTCTGTTGTGATCCCTGTCAGAGCAGTCCTTGGTGGTAGCCAGGCCATCTAGTTCTTCTGGTCTCAGGCTGGTGGAGTCTCTGGTTCAAGTGGTCTTTTAGTCCTTTGAGCCAATATTCTCCTTGTGTCTTTGGTTTTCTTCATTCTCCTTTGCTCTGGGTGGGATGGGACCAACAGATGTATCTTAGATGCCTGCTCACAAGCTTTTAAGACCCTAGATGATGTTCACCAAACTGGGATGCAGAACATTTTCTTTATGAACTATGTTATGCCAATTGACCTTGAGGTACCCCGAGACTATGGTCCCCAGGCCTCAGTCCTTCAAACTGTTTAGATGTGTCTAGGAAGCTTCTATGCTTTGCTTTTGTCCAGTTGTGCTGACTTCCCCTATATTGTGTGTTATCTCTCTCTTCACTGAAGCTGACACTTGTCTACTCTCTAGTTAGTGATTTCCCCTTCTCTTCCCTCCGCACCTTCATTCCATAGGGTTTTCAAGGCCGTGTGAGCTTGTCTACTAACCTAAACGTGGGTGGTTCAAACCCACAGCAGCACTGCTGAAGAAAAGCCTGGTGATCTGCTCCCGTAAAGATTACAGCCAAGAAAATCCTAGCAGCAGTTCTACTCTGCAGCACACAAGGTTGCCGTGAGTCTGAATCGACTTGACAGCAATGGGTTTGGCTGCAATTTTATTATGCCAACTACTATTCTAAATGTTGGAGATAATAGCATTCAATAAGACAGAAATCTGACTTTGAGGAGCTTATAGTCTAGCAGGAGAAAATACAATATTCTATCTACTTATCTGTATGTAATACATATCAGATGGACACAGTAGAAAGTGAATAAATAGTCAGCAAATACATGAAAGAATGGGGATAAGCACTACGGCAGGAAAAAAGAAGGGAAGGGAGATAGAGTACAGGGTGCTATTTTATATAGAGGTCAGAAAAGGTCTCAGTGCTTCTTAGACATCTGAGGGGAAACATCAAAGAGCCAGTTAGATATATTAGTCTGGAGTTCAAGTGCGAGGCCAGGCTTGAAAAATATATTTGAGAATTGCCAGCATATAAATGGCATTTAAAGCTATGGGACAAGATGAGACCAGACCACCTACGAAGTGGAAAGAGAAAAGAAAAGAACCAAGGACTGATTGAGTCCTGGGATCATATACCATTTAGAAATTGAGAAAATGAGTAGGAACGAACTAGAGACAGAAGTGGCAGCCAGTCGAGGGGACAGAAGAGTCAAGAGAGTGGTGTCCCAGAGTCAAGTGAAAAAGTTTCAGGAAAGGAGTAATCAACTCTGTCAAACTCTGTTGAAGATCAATTAAGAAGAGGTCTGCTAGTTGACTCTCAGATTTAGTAATGTAGATGTGGTGCTGTTGTTGTTAGGTGTCATCCAGTCGGTTCCAACTAATAGCGACCATACATACAACAGAACAAAACACTGCCCACCCGGTCCTGCGCCATCCTCACAGTCTTTGTTATGCTTGAGCCCACGTTGCAGCCACGGTGTCAATCCATCTCATTGAGGGTCTTCCTTTTTTTCAATGACCCTCTACTTTACCAAGCATGATGTCCTTCTCCAGGGACTGATCCCTCCTGATAACATGTTCAAAGTATGTGAGACACAGTCTCATCATCCTTGTTTCTAAGGAGCACTCTGTTTGTACTTCTTTCAAGACAGATTTGTTCGTTGTTTTGGCAGTCCACGGTATATTCAATATTCTTCGCCAACACCACAATTCAAGTGGATGTACGAGACTGTACAAAATGACTACAAATTCAAGAGGTGGAGTCTACTGTCCCACCCATGAATCTAGGCTTGGCCATGTGAGTTTCTCTGGCCAAACTTGACACAAGCATTGGCTTGAAAAGTGCTTGTGCCTTAGGATTTGCCCTCTCTGGCTACTAGGAAGTCTTTCACTATGATGGGAATGAGCATCATGGGAATGAACATGCTGGAGATGAAACACACTTGGCCACCGCCCCAGATGATATTGAGTCAGCCACCAGACATGCGAGTGAGGCCGTCCTAGACACCCTAGCCCCAGCCAGGCTGGCCCACACCAGAACTGTCTATTTGACCCATCGGAATTATGAGCAAATAAAGCAGTTGTTATTCTAACCCACTAAATTTTGGGATGGTTTGTTATGCAGCAAAAGCTAACCAATAATGTGGAAAAGCGGAGGATACTGGTGACAGCCAAGAGGTGTTTCAATGGAGTGATAAGCATGGAAATCTGACTGGAGTTGAATTAAGAGAGAATGGGAGGAATGGAACACAAAGCCTCTGGCTGATAACAGCTGAGCTTTAAAGGTTCCCCCTTCTAACAAGGCCATTTCCTCAATCAGGAAGCTACACTGTTATACTGCTGACTAGCTGTTCCCCCACCTTCTTCCAAAGCCCCTCTAGATACAGTGCACATTGGCAAGGTCCTTCTACCAGAGCACTTTTGTTGGTGCAGCCAGTTATGCCCAAACCAAGCACACCTACTCACAGGACAGCCGAAGGATAGAGGGAGGGAGAATTATATGCTCTGCTCATTCACTGCTAATACGTTTTACCAGTAAACTTAACTCTGTATTTATGCCACCTGTGTTCACAACTCCTTACAGGGCACCTTACCATCACTTGATAGACCTTGACATGCTCATTACTTATCTTCCAAGTATCTCAATAATTATTTTAAAAAACTGAAGTAAATTCTCTACCTGAACAACAACTACAATCACTTTTAAACACACCTGTAAACATTTCCAAAGAACTTTTAAAAATGTCAATTATATGTAAATAACTTACTTGGCAATCCGCAGTTTCCCAACTTCGCCTCTTCCAGGGGCTTTGGCCCATTGCTGTGACAAGTATTTAGGAACCTAAGACAAAGTAAAACACTAATAAGACTATGTTTTTGACACTAACAAACCTTTTTAAACATAAAATGAGATACCGCTTCTATTTTATTTTCTACCTCTAGTAACTGATCATTAAGTATCAAGCTCTCAGGAATAGAAGGGTCAAAAGAAGACCCTACTGGTACTTGTTCAATTATGTATGCAATCTTTACACAAAAACTTACTGAACAACTACTATGTGCCAGACAGTATGGCAGAGGTTGTGAAAAGAGGAAGGAGAAAGGGGACAATAGTGTCAGGTACCATGCTAGACATTTTGCATCTATTATCCCATTTGAAGGAGCCCTGGTGGCACAGTGGTTAAGAGTTCAGCTGCTAACCAAAAGGCTGGCAGTTCAAATGCACCAGCCACTCCTTGGAAACCCTATGGGGCAGTTCTACTCTGTCCTATAGGGCTGCTATGAGTTGGAATCAACTCAACGGCAATGGGTTTGGTTTAGTGTTTGATATCCCATTTAAAAAGGAGCTCTGGTGGTGCAGTGGTTAAGCGCTTGGCTGCTAACCAAAAAGGCTGGCGGTTTGAATCTACCAGCCACTCCATGGGAGAAAGATGTGGAAGTCTGCTTCCATAAAGACTACAGCCTTGGAAACCCTATGGGGCAGTTCTAATTTGTCCTATAGGGTCGCTATAAGTCAGAATTGACTCAATTGCAACGGGTTTGGGTTTTTTTTTTTTTTTACTCCCATTTAATCCTCCCAATTACCCTGCAAAGTTGTTATCATTCTCCTCATTCCACAGATGAGAAAAACTGAGGCTCAGAGGCTTGAAATAACACAGCTGGTCAGTATCAGACCCAAGACTTGAGTCCAGATTGATCTGATGTTCTCTCCCCTATACTACAGGGCCTCCCACCAAGGCGCACATGCTAAAGAGTATGTCAAAGCTCTAAGGGAAAGAGTTTTGAAGATACCTTATCTTAACAAAGTTTCACCTACAATGCACCCTACTCATTCAAGTAAGCTTTGAGGATATGGAAAACTCCTTATGGTAACTATATATTGTACCAGACAATGTGACAGAGGTTTGGAAAAGCTCTCCTTTGATTATAGATGACAGAAAATCAACCTAAATCCACACAAACAGAAAACAGATGTATTGACCCAAGTAACTAAAAGGTCCAGAGACAGCTTTAAGGTGGCCTAAGGCCTCAAATAAGGAATCCTTGGTTGGCGCCAACGGTTAAGTGTCCAGCTACTAACCGAAAGGTTGGCAGTATGAACCCATCCAGAGGTATCTCAGAAGAAAGGCCTGATGCTCTGCTTCCAAAAGGTCACAGTCATTGAAAACCCTATGGAGCACAATTCTACTCTAACACACAGGGGGTCCCCTTGAGTCAGAATCAACTCCACGACAGATGGTTTTGGTACTAGTAAGGGCTCAAATGATGTCCCCTTTTACAATGTCTTATCTCTTCTTTCTCCCATGTTGGCTCAATTCTTTGACAGGCTTTCCCTCTGTGTAGCAAGATGGCTGACGCAGCTCCTGAAGAGCAATCATTCCCTTCCCAAAAACTCTCAGCAAAAGGCACAGACTACGTCATGTACCCTTCCTTGGACCTATCACTGTACTCAGAGAGATGAGACACTTTCACTGGCTAGCTGAGCAAATGACACCTTTGGGGAGGGGCAATCAACATACACTGAAAAGGGGGAGCAGTGGTTTCCACAAAGTAAAAGCAGGGTGCTATTATAGTATCAAAGTAAGTGGATACTAGTTAGTGAAAAAAGCAAATGTCCACAATATTACCTGCCAGAACTAAACATAGGATCTAAAATTGACCTCTATAAATACTGTTATGTCATCAAATCTTTGAATCCTTGGCCTATGAAGTTATTACCTTACAGCCTGAATCTTGAAATCTTGCCTAACAGGTTAGCTTTTGCTTCTTGCTTTGTCTTTGATTTTTAACACCAGGGAAGCTTTATGTCAGTTACTCTACCACAAAGGAAAAAATATCTCCTACAGATAGCAGTCCACTCTGTCAATCATTGGCAAGTTAAATTCCCTAATAAAGTCCTTAAGAAAAAATGATGTCTTTTCTTCATTATATTCCAAGATCCTGGTTCAGACAAGCCGTTTTCAGATGCCCTAAAACTTCTCATTATCGGTAACAGTATCCTTTCCATAATCTGTATTTCAAGCAACCATTCTGACAACCATCTCCTATCTTCCCAACTCTCTCCCAGTACTTTCACTCCAACCATCCTTCAATCCCTCCCATTCACTGACCCCAACTAACACCTTTTCAATGCCCCCATCAGCTCATGTCCTCACTACTATCTTTAATGGGCCTAGATTTCATGGTCCATTATTATAATCATTCCCTTGCCCTCACCTCCCTCCATCATACTAGCCTGGCAGAACCTTAATCCTGATTAAAGCCAATCTCCACTGATTGGTATTATCATTTATTTATTATTTTATTGTGCTAGTTTCTTCCTACTCCACACTTGTACCTGCGCAGCTAAAGAAAAATTCACAATCGTGCTAATGGGTCTCACTATATTTTATTTTTTTAATTTCCTTTTTATTGTACTTTAGATGCAGGCTTACACAGCAAACAAGTTTCTCATTAGACAATTAATACACATATTGTTTTGTGACATTGGTAGCCAACCACACAACATGTTAACACTCTCCCCTTCTCAATCTTGAGTTCCCCATTATCAGCTTTCCAGTCGCCTCTTGCGGGACCACTACTATAAAAACTCATGAAAAGGCTTACACACAAAAAGAAATAATCTTTGATGTTTGGGAGTGAGGGGGAGGTAGTGGGAGAGAAAAAAACTAAACAGACAATAGACAAGTGGTAACTTTGGTGAAGGGTACACAACACTGGGGAAGCCAGCACAACTTGTCCAAGGCAAGGTCATGGAAGCTCCACAGACACATCCAAACTCCCTGAGGGACCAAATTACTGGGCTGAGGGCTGTGGGGACCATGGTCTTGGGGAACATCTAACTTAACTGAAAGAAAATTTTCTACATTCTACTTTGGTGAGTAACGTCTGGGGTCTTAAAAGCTTGTGAGCAGCCATCTAAGATACTCCACTTGTCTCACCCCATCTGGAGCAAGGGAGGATGAAGAAAACCAAAGACACAGGGAAAGATTAGTCCAAAGGACTAATGGATCACAACTACCACAGCCTCCACCAGACTGAGTCCATCGCAACTAGATGGTGCCCAGCTACCACCACTGACTGCTCTGACAGGGATACAACAGGCGGTCCCAGACAGAGCTGGAGAAAAATGTAGAACAAAATTCTAACACACAAAAAAAGACCAGACTTACTAGCCTGACAGAGACTGGAGAAACCCTGAGAGTTTGGCACCCCCGTACCCACTGCCCTCAAGTGGATTCCGACTCACAGCGACCCTATAGGACAGAGTAGAACTGCCCCACTGGGTTTCCCAGGAGCGCCTGGTGGATTTGAACTGCCAACCTTTTGATTAGCAGCTGTAGCTCTTAACCGCTATGCCACCATGGTTTCCCAAGTGTCACAACTTTCCCATACCGAGAGTCGAAACCGGGCCACCTGGGTGAAAACCAGGAATCCTAACCGCTAGACCCCCAGATGCCCTTATAACGCAGTAATGAAGTCACTCCTGAGGTTCACCCTTCAGCCAAAGATTAAACAGGCCCATAAAACAAAATGAGACTGAACAGGCATACCAGCCCAAAGGCAAGGACAAGAAGGCAGGAGGCGACAGGAAAGCTGGTAATGGGGAACCCAACGTCGAATAGGGGAGAGTGTTGTCATGTTGCAGGGTTGGCGACCAATGTCACAAAGCAATATGTGTATTAACTGTTTAATGAAAAACTAGCCTGCTCTGTAAACCTTCATCGAAAGTACAATAAAAAAAATAGAAAAAGAAGAAGAACTGTGGCCAATCCTCCCACTTGCACACTGAATTTCTTTCCCTGTTGTCTATTCAAGAACATCTTTATTTCAAAACTACCCTTTCTCTCCTCCACCCACTTCTCTACTTGATTATTCTGATCAGAATAATAACAATAGTAATATAAATAAAATAGCTAATACTCATAGAGTGCTTACTAAGTATTGCAGGAAGCCTTTAAGATGGACCCTGTCATGGATTGAATTATGTCCCCCGAAAACTGTGACTATCAATTTGGCTGGGCCATGATTCCTGGTATTGTGTGATCTTCCTTTATGCTGTAAATCCTGCCTCTGTGATGTTAATGAGGGAGGATAAGCGGCAGCTGTGTTAGTGAGGCAGGACTCAACCTACAAGATTGGACTGTGTCTTGAGACAATCTCTTGAGATAGAAAAGAGAGAAGCAAGCAGAGAGACGGGGACCTCATACCACCAAGAAAGCAGTGCCAACAGCAGAGTGCGTCCTTTGGACCTGCGGTCCCTGCGCAGAGAAGCTCCTAGACCAGGGGAACACTGATGAGAAGGCCGCCAGAGAGAGAAAGACTTCCACTGGAGCTGATGCCCTGAATTTGGACTTTTAGCCTATTTTACTGTGAAGAAATACATTTCTCTTTGTTAAAGCCATCCACCTGTGGTATTTCTGTTATAGCAGCACTAGATGACTAAGACAACCCCCAATCATCCCCACCTCCTCGTATTCATGCCCTTATGTAATCCCCTCTCTGAGTGTGAGCAGGGTCTGTGACTTGCTTCTAACCAATACAATACAGAAAAGGTTATAGGATATCACTTCCAAAATGAGTTTACACTTCCAAAATGAGTTTACTTAAGACTGTGACTTGTGTCTTGCCAGCAGATTCTCTCATTGCTTTCTCAGCTTGCAAGCTTTGGTGAAGCAAACTACCACACTAGAGAGAACTATGTGCCAAGAAACGAAGGGCAGGCTCCAGCTAACAGCCAGCTGGGAATTTAGGCACTTGTCCAACAACCCTGAAGGAACTAAATTCTGCCAACAACCACATGAGCTTGGAACCAATGCTTCCCCAGTCAAGACTTCAGAT